TCCTCCCAGGCACCTCTGAGTGGGTTTCAACCCCCACCTAACTTTTAGCTAGTAGTCAAGCACTTTACCATTTACACCACCCAGGGACTCACCATGAGTCAGAGTTCATTTGATGGCAACTAACAGCAGCAATAAGCAGAGGGAACAAGCATGTGGCAAGATCCTTGGCAGGAAAGAGCCAGGTACTTTGAAGGAAGCAACAGAAGCCCATTTATTTAGTAGAAGACTAGTGAATGCTGGCCGCGTTATGAGATGAAATTAGAGGAGTAGGTTGGGCTTTAGAAGGTTTTAGAAGCCATTTTAAAGAGTTTGTATTTATCCAAATGTAGTGGGAAACCATTGGGTAATATTTGGCAAGGGATTGACCTTATGTGATTTTATTTTAAAATCTTTTATTTTTCGGTCGGGGGGAGATGAGTAGGTGGAACAAAAGGGGTTTTTAGGGCAGAGGAACTTTTCTGTGTGATAGTGTAATAGTGGATACATGACATTATGCATTCATAAGAACTATACAACACAAAGAGTGAATCCTAATGTAAACTATGGACCTTAGTTAATCAATAATGGTTCAACAAATGTATGAAACTAATGCAAGATGTGAATCACAGGAGAAACTTTGTGCAGGGAAGAGAGAGGATATATAGGAATTCTCTGTACCTTCTACACAATTTCTGTAAGCCAAAAACTGCTCCAAAAAATAAAGTTTATTAATTTAAAAAATGTATTATTTTGGTGTTCTTGTCCAAGTGGAGCAAGCATGGTAGTGGGAAGACCAGTTAGGATCAAGAGCTAGGAGTTACTTATGTAATATATTGGACAGATGTTTATCTTTAAAATAAAATTTAGTTTCTTCTTGCAAATATAGGAACTTGCCATAAACATAAAAATTCATAATATCTAAAATACAGATATAGAACATGATGGCAATATTCAGGTATATTTTTTTAAAGTATGTTTTTGTTAAAAGCTCATATGCTTTAGAAGGTCTCCTGACACAGTTATGATTTTCTGTTTTAGAACATTCTAAATGTCCAGCAGCACCTATAATCAATCAGTCAACAATCAAAAGTACATTGACATTTCCTTCTTAGGTGATGTTTATTATATAGTAAATATTTTATTTTTCTCATTTGCTCATTATGTAAGTCATTCCCAAGAGTAGTCTCTTAACCTGAACTTAAGGTTCACTTAAAAAAACCCAAAAAAACCAACCATTCTCTTTCCCATTATATAACTTTGATTGACTTAATGAAGCTGGTATTTTTCTTTCATGAGTAACAAACGTAGTCATCATTATCTCCTAGGTAAGGTTTGGAAGAATTAACTATTTCATCTACATAGCTTAGGAATTCTAGCATGGTGAATTTCATGGCTTTATTATATTTATCCTTATACTGTGACATTTCATAAAGTGGCAGATAAAAGTGAAAAGGTAAAAAAGTAAAAACTCCCTTTTTGAAATTCTATGGCCTGCAGTTACTACCCTATTTATTTCCATTGTTATTTGCTAGCTGGTAGATGTATATACTTTCCTACCCAAATAAAGTATTAATCAGTCTATGAAGGCAAGAATGCCCTGTTCCCTTCTGCTTCACTCAATATTGCTTAATTATTTGAATAAACCAACATAATTCTTTTGAGGTTGTTTCATTAATATCCCAACATGTGCATTGTAAGTACTGGAGCCATCTTTAGTCCTTATGTTTAGATCTCTGTCCTTACCTAGAAATTTATGAGATAGGATTGGGCAACTCTAAAGGGAAATTTAGATTTTTTTTTTCCTATTAAAAAAATATACCAATCTCACTGCCACTGAGTTGGTTTCAACTCATAGTGACTCCTGTTTGGGTTTCTGAGTTGGTATCTCTGTGGAAGTAAATTGCCCAATCTTCCTTCCGAGGAGTGGCTGGGGGGTTTGAACCACCAGCCTTCTGGTTAGCAGTCAAATGCTTAGGTGTTTATTATTTCCAGGGAAGAAGGAAGGAGTAAATATTCATTGAATGAATGAATGAAATAAGCAATGATCTGGTACCCTTTGAAACTCTGATTAGAAACTATTTTGCAAATATTGTATATTCTTTTTGATTTTGCTTTGTGGAGGGAAGCATAATCTAAATGGATTGCCAAGTTATTTGAGCCCTTGAACTTTACCCAGAAAATGGTAAAATAAGACAAAGGAATGCTTTTTCTTTTCTCCTTCCTGTTTATTTATTCATTCACTCACTCAACAAATATTTATAGAGTACCCATAAGTATTCTGTAAGAGTAGTAGGTACACGCCACTCTTGGGGCTGGTAACATAGCAATGAATTATACAGTTGCAGTCTTTGCCTTCAGGGAGCTTTAGTTATAGAGGACTGAAAGGCACGGTGATGAGTGGTTAAGAGCATGGACTCACTGAGACTCAGGTTCAGTTGTAAGACTGGGATATGGATATTACTTATCTTGGGGTGATTATGAAAATTAAATAAAAAATGCACACAAAGTGTTTTAATCAGTGCTTGGCACATTGGAAGCAATAATTTTAACTATCATTTATTATTAATAATTAGACATTAACAATAAAGCACATTAGAACTAGCACAAGATAAGTTTAAGGATTGCTTGCTAATTAATCGAGGTTTCCTACTGACTTTAAAGATGTCAATTTATTTTATGATTCTTACAGTGCCACCTCTTTGTTTAATATCTGGACCAAATACGCCCCCCGGCTGCCGGCTGCCTATTACAATGAAAAGCTTCTGAAGGTTGGAGATAGCCTTTGCCAAATGAAAGTAAGTACTGCCAGAGGAAAAAAGCCCAAATGAAACTCATTTGGCAAGTTATTTTATTACTGTTTGGTTCATCACCATTTGTCTTAGTTATCTAGTGTGCCTATAGCAGAACTACCACGAGTAGATGGCTTTAACAAACAGATACTTGTTTTCTCACAGGAGGTTGTTGTTATGTGCTGTCGAGTCAGACCCGACTCATTGTGACCCGTCCTTGGGTTTCCAAGGTGGTATCACTACGGAAGTAGACTGCCCCATCTTCCTTCCGAGGAGTGGCTGGTGGGTATGAACCGCCAGCCTTCTGGTTAGCAGTCAAGTGTCTTAGGCACTATGCTACCAGAGTCTGAAATCAGGGTGCTAGCTCTAGGGGAAAGCTTTCTCTCCCTGTTGATTCTGGAGGAAGGTACTTGTCTCTTCTGAGCTTCTGGTCCTGA